CTGTTTTTGCTCTGCACCTTGCTGTGGTCCCCAGCACCCCCTCAGGGGGTGTCCACTTGTCTCAGATACCAGATTGTGGACTCCAGAAGGGTGAGAGCTGTGTCTTATTCACTGTGGTATGTTCCTCATACTATAGCTGGTTGCTGAATGAAAATAACTGAGGTTAAGAGCCTTTTATTTGTTATAAATTCAGTAAAGGGCATTAGCCAGTCTGAGTGGCACTGCAAGGGGTTTTAGGTTACTCCTCCTTGTAGGTGAAACTTAGCCCTCATCATCCTAGGGCCGGGCACAGTGGCTCATGCCTGTAATCCCAGCACTTTGGGAGGCCGAGGCGGGCAGATCACAAGGTCAGGCAATCGAGACCATCCTGGCTAACACGGTGAAATCCCGTCTCTACTAAAAATACAAAAAAATTAGCTGGGCGTGGTGGTGGACGCCTGTATTTCCAGCAACTTGGGAGGCTGAGGCAGGAGAATGGCATGAACCTGGGAGGCGGAGCTTGCAGTGAGCTGAGTTCGCGCCACTGCACTCCAGCCTGGGCGACAGAGTGAGACTCCATCTCAAAAAAAATAATACTAATAAATAAATAAGAGCCAGTTAGTTGATGCTCAGTTAGTGGGAAAGAAAGTTTATGCTGTTGATTTCCTATTTGTAACTTGGAGTAAAAGCTCATGGTGCTCATTTAGGCCAGTCAGCGTGATCCTTACTCAAAAGACTGTGCATATGTCTTACCAAAAGTGTTCCTCAAGAACCAGCTCTGTGGCTGGGCATGGTGGCTCACGCCTGTAATCCCAGCACTTTGGGAGGCCAAGGCTGGCAGATCACAAGGTCAGGAGATGGAGACCATCCTGGCTAACACGGTGAAACCCCGTCTCTACTAAAAATACAAAAAAATTAGCTTGGTGTGGTGGTGGACGCCTGTAGTCCTAGCTACTTGGGAGGCTGAGACAGGAGAATGGCGTGAACCCAGGAGGCGGAGCTTGCAGCGAGCCAAGATCGCACCACTGCACTCCAACCTGGGCAACAGAGCAAGACTCTGTCTCAAAAGAAACAAACAAACAAACAAAAAACCCCAGCTCTTTGAAGGAAAGAAGAAAGCAAGGAAACAAGTGGAAGCCCTTGTCAGTGTCTTCCTGGAGTGGGGTTCATTCATTCAGCCACATATTCACTGAGTGCCTTCAATTTGTCAGGCTCCGTACCAGGCTTCGAGATGCTTTGCCCACTCAACTTTACCATCTTGTGTCCCTGGAGACAGACTTGGATTCACTGACTACTACCCCTGAGATCTTAAGACAAGCTACTTCCCCTCTCTGAGCTTGAGCTTTTCCAGCTGCAAAATATAAATATTCCTCCCTCGTAAGGCTGTTGTGAGGGTTAAATGAGGAGCTGTATTGTAGCTTTTCTCAGCCAGGGTCCTGAGCTGAGCCACAGAACAGAAAAGCTGATTGGAGTGACTCTCTCATCTCTCTCAAGTACAGAGTATAACTAGTACCATCCTAGGTAACAGGAGAGAAGTGAAGCCATTATAAATAGTGGATTAGGGGGTCATAAGTCTCTCGAAGAACCAGGTCAAGGAAGGCCAGTACAACCCTCTTTTCTGACAGCTCGACATAGTGGCCAGTTCTAGGGCAACTAGAATTTCACAGTAGCATCATTGTGTGGTGAGTTTGGCACACCGTAGACACTAAGTAAATGTCAGCTTCCTTCCCCAGTCCCTCCTCCTCCCTCCCTTTCTTGCCAGGACTCAGCTTCTCTTAAAGCCATGCACATCTTTCAGAAAGAGCCTAGGTTTTCTTAAATGGGAAAATATCCACTTGTCTCAGCGTTTTAGGTCACCCTTCCTAGGCAACGTGCTTCCAGGCCCTTGGGCTACTGCTGTGATGCAGGTGCCTCCTGTTTGCTATGCCCTGGCACTTGGGCAGCGCTTCCTAGAGAAGGGGGAAGCCCTACAGCGTGCTGCATGTCTTCTCAAACCACTGAGCTGCTGTGCTGCCGCAGGCCCTTCACCAAGCACCAGGGAACTAAAGTATGAACTAGACACAGATGCACATGGCTGCAGGGAGTTTCTAGCTTACTAATGGAGATCAGATTTGTTTATGAGGAGCCCAGTGAGGGGTGCCAGGCCATGTCTTTAAGATTTTAGGAAAAGGGGAAGGATCAGAGTGAACAGGGCAGTCACCCTATCATCCCCATCACAGTCCCCTTCTGTCCGCCATTCATAAAGGAAATGGCATCTCTTTGTGGGCCTGGAGGTCACCTGTTAAACATGTGCACCTTGGCCAGATGTCTGTATGCTAGCACCTGAAAGTGCTACCAGAGCGACCCCTTTTCTTCTGTCCTCTGGTGACTCAAGACTCGAGGAGCCAGTTCTGTGGATGGTAGATCCGATTTCAGTGACTTCAGCGGTGGCTAGGTTCTGCTGAGTCTGAAAGGGGAACAGATACCAAGCCCCAAATCTTCCTTGCAGGAAGCCAGATGATTCTAGTAGTAAACCACTGGTCCTTCAGGCATGAAATAACCTCAGGGCCAATTCCTCAGCAACACAGAGCCTCCTGAACTTCACCTGGTCACTCCGTCCAAGTTGCAGGAGCCATCAGGGCAGAGTTGGTGTTCAGCAGGAAGGACACAGCCAGTCTGTCACAGAGGAGGTTGGAAGGGGTGGAGGCTGTAGTATGAGGCACGTCCAGACACAGTGAGTTCTGGCTGTATGCCTGGGGACAGTCAGTCATACCCTCTATGAACTGGTGACTCAGGTGGGAAGATAAGAGGTAGTATCTGATAAAACCAGAGAATATTCAATGCTGACCCTCAGCTCTATGAATGTTTAGAGTAAGGAGAGAGCTCCCATTTTGGGTCTTTGGATCATGGTGAATATCAGTTTCTACATCTGTAAACTGAGGGGGTCACTCTGTGGATGCATCTCATATTAGCATTGTATTTAAGAATTGGATCTGGACAAGGTGAGGTGGCTCACGTTTGTAATCCTAGCGCTTTGGGAGCCCAAGGTGGGAGGATCACTTGAGCCTAGGTATTCAAAACCAGCCTGGGCAACAAGGCAAGACCCCATCTCTACAAAAAAAAAAAGCTTTAAAAATCAGCCAGGCCTGGTGGCTCATGTGTGTAGTCCCAGCTACTCAGGAGGCTGAGGTGGGAGGACTGCTTGAGCCCAGGAGTTTGAGGCTACCATGAGCTATGATTGCACCACTACACTCTAGCCTGGGCAACAGAGTGAGACCCTGTCTCTTAAAAAA